CCTTCCCTTTTCTTTTTTCTTCTGTTCCTTTTCCTTTTCCTTTGTTCTTTATCCTTTTCATTTTTCCTTTTCCTTTTCTTTTTCCTTTTCCTTTGAATTAACCCTTGGAGACATAAATTGAAAAATATATTGATGGGAATTTTACCAAAAGGAATTATGTTGGTATGGAATCATACTTGGAAAAATTTGCACTGTACAAAACTTTTGTACAGTGAAAAAATGTAGGTACATTTTGTATACGATGTTGGCAGTACTGTAGAAAAAGCATAGTAATATATCTATATATATATATCTATATATATATATCTATATATATATCTATATATATATATACACACAGCCAAATGTCTCTTTAGATGTTAGTAATAAGGGATTTGTACAGAATAAGCATAGCATGCAAAGAAACATGAAGAGATTTTGGTTTATCATCACAGACATTTTTGATAAAATACTCTAGAAAATCTTGTGAGTATACTGTTTGTTGTACTAAAACAGGCCTTAAGGGCCTGAGAAGGAGTTTAAGATTCTTTAAATCTTCTAACTTTTATGAACTGCCATGACATCTATTTTCTTCACAATTTCACTGCTCTGCTGCAATAAAGACTCTGTTCTACTAAGATCTCCTTATCTTTTTACCCTATCTCTTACAACAGTTCAGTAATACCAGTGGGATACTAATGCAGTGGAGTGCTGTTCAGATTAAGTTCATTCTGCCATAGGTCAACAATTTGTACGTTTTTTTCTCCTTGCAAAACACAACTCTGGAAGCATGACTAATCTTTATTTTAGGCTGATGAGAAATCAATGTCATTAAATTAAACAGTAAATTTTTATACTTGTTTATTAATAGCTAAAATAGAGGATGAAAAGTAAGGCTCTTTGTGCAAACTTTTCCAAAGCTCAGAGTTATCCATGCCTTTGTTTGATTTGGAACAATTTCTAGTGATAAGGCATGAGCCAGAAAGGCCAAATAAAAACTTAGATGGCTTGTACTGCCAACCAATCCATGCAATCCCTGTAAATGCTAATAGTTGTATTCATATTCTGTCAGACAATTTTATCTGTTGACAATGACCTTGAGTGGTGAACTTCCCCATAAGATGTTTCAGTGCTTCACTATTAGTGGTGGTTTTCATTAATGTCTAACTTTAAACACACATTCTTTTTAGATCCTGGTTGTTAGATTGAAAAAAATATGTATAATGACATGAAAGCAAAAGAGATGGATCATTCAGAACTCACACAATCAACAGTCAACATGCCAATTTTACAATATCATTTGTCTGCTTTCAGCTGCATAGCAATTTCAAATACACGAGTTAGTTGAAAAGTAAGATGTGTTAGATGATAATATGACCTTTGATCTCTCTTTCTGTAGCTGTAAAGATAGAAAATAGTATCCTACGACTCAAGATGCTGACTAATATTGAGCTGTCATCCACTTATTTTGGCTAATGAATGGTCAGTCCAGAGTGTAGTAGCACCCTAATATAAAGGTCAGAAATAGTGAGAGGTTTTAGATGTCAGATCAAATCCATCTGGTGTAAGACAGTGTGTGATGTTGCCAGCTCTTCTGCTGACTGTGAATTTGAATAATTAGAACGTGGCCATCCACTTCTTACTGTTTGTCTTCCTAAGAATCCCATTTATTTGCACTGTGTTACTTAGCTGTAAATATTTTAAGAAAACACACCAGGACTTGAGGAAAAAAAGATCTGTTTCTGCTTTGCTGAGGAGGCCTTCCCCTTCTCCTAACTCAATAGAGTGGAGCTGGCTGAGTAGGGTTTGAGGGTGGGCATTGAGCTGAGGGAGGCAGGGCAGCCTTTCTCAGAGACCCCACTCTTCAGCTTGACAGGGAGAGAATGATATGGGGAGAGGAAAGGCAGCATGGATGGGAGAGGGGGATGTGAAGCAGGAGGCATCCGGGGAAGTGATAAACCCAGTGCTGAGAAGGCAATACTGTGTTCAGAAGTGTGTTTGCTAGAAGCTGAAGTACTGTAAGCTTCTTCAGAATAAATATGTCCCTGTGATTTTCCAGCTTGCTCAGTAGTGATGTAACAGTGACTGATTTTCTGACTGTGCAGATGTTAGTAGTGATTCTTTCTTCTACACTTCATTTAATGCCCTTCCTGAGATTTCTTATGCCATCAAATCACTGCTCCCTTTCTTCTCTACAGACAGGGTCATTCTTTGAAGCCCAGACTGTTTTTTGACCCCTGATACTGTTATCTTTTCTTCCTTATCACTCTTAGGGCAGAGAAAGCAGCTCCCACCTGTAAGAAATTCTGTTGTTCTTGTAAAAAAATTTTTTTTACTGGAAATTTAAAAGCCAAAGCTGAAAATCTTGTGTATTTTGAAGTCTTATATTTGTGAATCTTGTATTGCTGTTTTGTGATTTTAGTGACTTTGTATTGTGTACCTATTTGCTAAGAAATTGCAAACTATGAATTATGAAGTTTTTGTATATGAGCATAAATTTAGTGGATTTTTTCATTGTACAATTCCACCTGTAATTTATGATCATTCTTTAATATGTACTGTTAGGACAGCAGATACCTCATTTTTACTCCATCTGCATCTAATGCCTTCCACTATTTATTTCTTCATGATTTCCAAAGGAAGCAAGTCTTACAGTGTAATTTTGTCTGTATATGTCTGTCTGTCATTTGCCTTCCTCTTTCCTTAATAATGTCTGAATGTATTGCTATTAGCTGAATTGGACAGAGGTATAAATTTATCACAAAGAACTTTACGCCTCTGTCACATTTGGTTTATATTCACCAGGAAATTCAATGGTTGCATTTCCCACATGTTCAACTGAATGATATGGCTAGGTATAAAATTTACACCTACTAGCTCCCCTGTTGAAGAAAAAATTTCTAAAGGGCTACAATCCATTAGAGATACCAGAGAACCTACTTGGGCACTCAGTGTTTCAATCCAAATCTATGTTAAATTGGTCCTTATTTGTTCTGCTGCTCAAATAATTACTGACAACTAGTTCAGACACTCGATGTCTAGAGGGAACAGTTAAGTTTGCGTTATCTAACCTGCAGCACCCCTGGACAGAGTCAATTAAGTATTATTTTTTGACAGAACTGCCAGGAAATACTCTAGACTGGTAAGAAAATATTGCAGTCTCCTCTAGGACAAAGATGCAAGGTGAGAAGTCCTTATGGTACTCTATGTATTGTTCCTTTATTGCTGTCCATCTCTGAAGTGACTATTCAACAGTCTTTATCAAAGGGAGAAGTCAGAATATTTTTCTGCCTGACCTCTTGCACTGAAGCTGATTGCACCAGCACAGCATGACAGTGGAGTCAGAAAAAGCTGCAATCGTGATTAAAAAAGCATGGGTTTTTCTATGAGTAATGAGATTGGTTTTATGGATAGTGGAGGGGTTGTTTAAAAGATTTCTTTCTCTAACTCTTGAAAAATGCTTTTGTATGTTAACACCATACCCAGCTTTTAACATATTGCCATAAATAACCACAGTGCTAGCCATAAAAAGAAGGGGATAAAAAGAGGGCAAACAATAATATCTGGATGCCAGATGGCA